GCTTTGTAGTATATTTTGAAATCAGGGAGTGTGATACCTCCAGCTTTGTTCTTTTTTCTCAGGATTCCTTTAGCTATTCGGGGTCTTTTGTTGTTCCACTATAAAATTATTATAATTCTTTTGTGGTGTCATATTTCCTTAATTATTTGTGTTTCTGGTAGCCTTGTGTTGATGTCTGCATATTTTAGGGAGCAGTTACCTCTTCCAGACTTTGTGGATTGTCTTTGGGGGTAAAGACTTTTACCTATAGGTAGATGTGAGGGTGTCAACTGGATTGGATGTGGCAGCTCCAGCTCTATGGTGTTTAGTTAGCAGTTCTGGCTTCAGGGAGGGCACAACAGCATAGTCTCTGTGGAGCTTCATCAGCTGAGGTCAGTGCTGGCAAAGACTGCAGGGGACCTCAGTGGCCAAAGCTGTAGGTTTCCACAGTGGTGGTAAATGCTGTTGGGTTCCTTGTTGGTGAAGGCTGCTTGGTCCTCCTATCCTCCTTTTCCTCCACAGGGGAAAGTCATTGCCAAGGGCATCCCTCTTGTTGCTGGGTCCAGCATGTGGGCACACATGTGGTAGCAGTGGTGCCAGGATCAGGGGCACAAATGCATTTGTGGTGGCAATGACATTGTTATCTGGGGTGTGGGCACCTGCAGAGTAGCCATGGTACCAGGGTTGGAGCTTGGGGGCATCTAGAGCAACTGCAGGACCTGGGACTGAGACACAGGTTCATTCATCACAATGGTGGCCCTAGTGTTTGAGGCATGGGGGTGTGCTGAATAGCCATGGAGCTGGGGTCCAGGGTGTGTGCATGGTTGCAGGAGGCGGATTGTGGCTCTGGTTGGGGAGAGCAGGATGCAGTGACAGCACCTTTGGTGGGGGGGCAGGCAGCAGCACTTCTCCAGTGAGGGTACAACAGTGGCAGCTTCTCTGGAGGGGTGCTACCGCAGCTCTTTTGTGGGGGGGGGGTCATAGCAGCATGGGCTCCAGGCAACTCCATCAGTTGGATTCAGCACTAATGAAGACTGTAGGGCACCTCCATGGTGAAAGCTGCGTGTGTCCACGGCATTGACAAGGGCTGTTGGAGTTCTCCTGCTCTCCTTTTCCCTTATGGGGGAAGGTCAGGTCAAGGGGATTCCTCTTGGCCCCAAGCTCTGCCAGACTAGGGGATGGGGCAATTCAGATAAACTGCTAACTATGCTTTTCTATGTGGCTATTCTGTTTCTGTTCTCCATAGTTTCTGCAGCCTCTCTATTGTACGCTGGAGATCACCCAGAGCTATTCTAGTTGGCATGTAGTTGTTTATTTGTTGTTTTTATTGTTTTTGTCGGGGAGGGGATGAGCATTGGGACCTCCTAGTCTGCCATCTTGCTGATGTCACTATGAAAAATTAATTTTCTATACAATATTCTCAGAAGCAGTTGTTTAAATAGTTTGCTTTAAATACTTCCAATGACAGGGAGCTTTCTACCTCAAGAGGCAGCTGATGCCATTGTTGCAGCTTACACTGAACGTTAGAAAGTTCTTCTACTAGGGCAAAGACTAAGAAAAAACTTTCTAAAATTTAGAGCTTTAGGGACATTGAATGGACTCTTTTGCAAAAGACTTAGTTCCCCATCTTCGGAATCATTGAAATATAGTCATGCACCACATAATGATGTTTTGGTCTACAATAGACCGCACATGCAAGGTGGTCCCATCAGATTAGTACCATATAGGCCAGGTGTGTAGTAGGCTATACCATGTAGGTTTGTGTAAGTATGCTCCATGATGTTCGCACAATGACAAAATTGCCTAATGATGCATTTCTCAGACTGTATCCCCGTTGTTAAGTGATGCATGACTATAAAGGCTACATGACTTTATCTAAAGATGTTTTAGAATCTAGAATCTGGAGTCTAGATGACTTTTAAGGTCCATTCCTGTTTCCATAGTCAATGGTTTCATGGCAATTCATTAGAAAAAGCTAATCTTTTAATCTAGTCTTCCAAGCAGCTCCTATTTCCAATTTTCTCCTTTTTATTCTTTAAGTCTCTCAGGCTCAAACCTTTCATCTGCCTATGACTCCTCTCTCTCCTTTGCCTCTTTCATATATTTAGGTTCTCTCCTACCCTCAACTCAGTATCTACTACTTGTCTTCCTTTTCTATCCTCATTTTGGGGCTTAACTTTGTCTTGCCTGAATTAATCTATAGTCTATTCTATGATCTTCTGGCCTCCAGTTTTTCCCTTATCTAATCCAGCTTGTATTTCTAAAGTATCCCTTTGATAAACTCTATTCCTTTTCCAATCCATCCTTAAACTGAACTTGATCATATTGCAATTCTTCCCCACTCTTTATCCTGGCATTGATAATCCTCCACAATCAGGCCCAACTTACCTCTCCAGACACACTTCTTTAACTCACTTTCCCAAACTCTTTTGGTCAAATGCAGTCCTCCTTTCACTCTATTCCAAAAAGTTTCTGTTTTTATGTTATTCAGCTTGTGCTTATACCAATTTCCTTGCTCAGGACTTCCCCCTGTCCCTAATCCCCTACCAGCAATAAAATCCTAATCATATTTCAAAGTCAGTCTCAAATCTCTCCTCTATTAACTCTTCCCAGTGGACTCTAGCCCACACTTCTCTCTTCCCCCCTCTGAACTCCCATACCACTTTACTGTCTGTTTCCTTCATTTGGCAATCAATCATGCACTGCCTTGTAACATCTATGAAAGCTGTTATTTATCTCAAGTACTGTCATTACTCTTTCTTTTGTGTATATCTTGTCTCCACAACTACCTAAAAACCTTATTGAGGCCAGGAGCCAAGGCTACACCTTCTTTTCAACTCTCTATGGAACAGTGGGGGCTCACTTATTGACATGTACTGACTAGTTTCCAATAGGTTATCCAATTACTTTGTAGCGACTTTAATAGAGCGCTAAGTCCATGATTAATCTTCCTTGGCCCCGTCAGGTATCGGTGGTGACAGAGGATATAAGAGACCATTAAAGATAAGATACATATGAGAGAAAGCATATTTGACTCTTTAAGCCTCAAGCGAGATGTATTGCTAAGATGCTCGTGGTGAGACATTTAACTATCAGCTAAAAGTGTTCCTTAATAGATTTAGGTCCCTAGAGCAGCTCCACAGAGGTTGTGATTACAACTTGAAATTCACAACTTCTCCAAGAGAGTAAACAGGCAGATTATTTTTCTTTCCTTTCTAATTTGTGATGAGTAGTCAACACCAAGGTGTTTAATTCAATTGAGTTAGGAATGGCACATCAATGCTGTGATGACTTTAGAAGATTTTGCATTCCTGGACTAATAATTAAAATTCAAAATATCCTATGTGACCTTTTATGCCAAATTGAAAATGTGTGATTCATGAGGAGTGTTCCAGTTTGGATAGAGGTAAGCCAAGAGAAGGAAAGGGATGGGTCTACAGGGATGAAGACTGAAAGGAGGATGTAAACCACAACTTTTTATGGCTACATCTAATGCTGTGCCATAGCAGTCTCACTGCGGGTAGGCGGGAGGGACAGGATGTGCTTCCTCATCAGGAAAGGAAGAAGAAAATAACAAAGGAGTGAAATGCTGAGTGCTAAGTCATGTAAAGACCATCATCAGATTCTAAGCAAAAAAACTCTCAATTAAGCATATACAATGTGGGCCTGGGAGAGAGAGGCCTTAATGATAATGTGGAGAGGTACCTTGGCCCCAGTTCAGTCAACTCATCATGTACTCATAACCATGAGTAGCAAAATGTATAGTTGTAAAACTAAGTGGTCAAAAGCCTGAGAAGTCCTAGGGGAGTGAGGACAGATGGTTTTTCTCCATGGCATTGTTTTCACTTCTAAAACCCATTATTACCAAACCATATTCTACATTGCTCCATCTCAAATGCCCAAGAGAATCCTCCACGCTTTGCTAATTATTTAAGATATTGGCTTCTTTTTGAGGGTGGATTCATCTTCCCCTTTATCTCCAAGACCTTCACAGCAGAACTTTGCTTTGGGATGAACCATGTATCATTCCCTTTCTAAACCTTGGCTCCAAGATTAGCCTTAGATTCATTTATTCATTCAATAAATATTTATTGAGCCTTTATTATGTGCCAGACATTGCTTTAAGTAAATAAATAACAAATATCCCTTCCTCTTGAAACTTACATAACTTCGAACTGTGGTAGGTCTACAGAACAGTGGGCCGAAGGCACAGCCCCAAGTATAAATGGTGGCACCATTTGTTGCAAGGAGCAGTGGCCATGGTTTTGGTATTGCTAAGGAGAAAAAGAACCCTGCTAAGTTTTGGGGAGGACTGCTCCTTGTTCTTCCTTCTACGTTTCTTTTGTGGTAGACAGTGAACAGAGGGGTAGAATTGCATAGCAGTTAAGGACATAGGCTTTGGAGTCACACAGCCTGGGTCCAAATCCTGGCTTTGCTACTGAATAGTTATTTCATCTTGGTCTGGTTCCTTCTCCTTTGTGAGCCTCAGTTTCCTTAGCTGTTACTGCAGTCACTCAGAAGACCCAAGTCAAGACTGCTGATTGCAGCTTTGCTAACATAAGAACATCTAAATTAGTTGCTTACATACATCTTAAGTGCCTCGTCCATTGGACATACAGTGACATACATATATCAAGTGGACGTGTGCAGAGGTATCTAAACCACATACTTACCAAGGTCTGAATCTAAGTGAATTACTCCTATTTATAAATAGTTCTAAACAGGTTTCCTAATGATATTCATCTATAATTCCTGACCAGATGGTCTCTGCTTCCATCTGATTATTTCCTTGTTTGAAAGGTGGCTTAACTAATGCAATCAATTGAGGGTTTACTCCCGAGAGTTGTGTGGATTCTCTACTATTTCCCTTACCTTACGAATTTCTCCCTGTTGGACGGTTTTTATGACGTTAATCCATTCTTCCATGTCTTTCCGGTTGGGTGCAGCCAGGGTAACTTTTCGTTGTGGTGTGATCACCTAAACAAAAAGTCCCATTATTAGCTGCTTCCCAGTCCACAACTTTGCCCCCAAACAGAGCCTGTGAAGTCTCCAGAAAACTAGACAGGTCTACCAAGCACAACCCAAGCCACTTCTTAAATATAAGACAGAAGTTCCCAGAGCCACTCGCAGCTCCTTGGATACCCACCCAAAATAATAAAAATGATAATAGTAATAAATAACACTTTAATTGCTCTTAATATATGCCAGACATGGTTCTATTGCACTTTATGTATATTATTATATTTTAATCTTCATTACAACCCCATAAGATGGGCATTATTATTTTTCTCACTTCATAGTCAGGAAAACCAAGGCAAAGGGAGTTAAATGACTTGCCCAGGGTCACCTAGCAGGTAAAAAGCTAATCCAGAATTAAGATCCAGATTCTTTGGCTTCAGAATATATGCTCTTAAACACTAAACCATGTACCCACCTATTACTCAAGTGAGGTTGCCTGAAAATCCTACTTGCTTTCTGCTACTCTGTCTACTTAAAAATGGTAACAGAGTATATGCTTCATCAGGGTGTGCCTCTTTCTGGTTGGGGGAGAGTGAGAATGGAGTGAGGAATCTAAAAATCCAGTTTCTTTCTTTCTTATGGTCAGGGACAACATGAAGAGAATTTTACCGTTGTCTCTCTTAACCCTGCTTGGTGCAAGAACCCAGGCAGGAATAATGAAAAAGCCATGCTGAGGGTCTAGCAGAAGTAGACCATGGTCAGGACTTGATCTTTTCCCAGAAGGCAGGAGGAAACATGGATAGCTATAGCATCAGTCATTGCTTCAATGGTCCTACTTGCCTTTACCATCAGCCCCCCAAATCTTGGAGCTAGAGCTCACCACACCAACAAGAAATTTCTTTCTCCTTTTGCATGTAGCACAGAATGATTCTGTGATAGATGGGAATAGAAACTAATGGGAATTGTGATAACAGCCACTCCTTTGGTCCAAACCCATTATTATGTGGGGCTGATGAACAGTACCTCTGAGTTGTAATTAGGCTAAGGGGCAACCTAGTCCTTGGGACTTCTTTGTAGAATGGAGACCAAAAACATTAGCCTGTATGCTCATCGCCCAAAGGTTAAGCTTTTTGGGACTGTGTCAATAGAACCCTAAGTTTTACCCTAGGTCAGTGTGATGTAATGAGAGAGAAATGAGAGTAGAGCCCCCCTTTTATAATCAGCTGCTCTCCTTTCAAAGGAGAATGGAAGGTGGACCAGCCACAGAAGCAGGGTATTAGGCCTGTAGCTCTTTAGTCTGCTAAGTACCACCCTGCACCTGCCTGAAGAGGAACTCCAGTCTCCATAACCCACCACTGAGGCTGGGAGAAGACAGTTCTGGGAGGAGATGGGTAGGGGAATTCCTGGGCCAATGGACTTGCTATTTTTCAGTGAGCTTTCTGGTCTGGATTCACCTGAATGACCAAAGCCTTATGACATTTCAGTAGTGCCAAGCCCTTGAATACTGTCCTAGAAAATCTTATGCTTTCTTTGAGGTACTCTCATCAGTAATATCAGCATAGGGTAGCTTTTGCTTTGAATTTAAGTTCTTATCTACCTCATCAAAGGAAAGAAGATCATGTAGCTCAATTATCCTGAAATTTTCTACAACATATTAGCAGTCTCTTGAAAGCTTTCCAATGATACTCATCTAAATCACCTTCACCAGCAGGATTGATTTTTGTAATAGTCACTTCCCCAACCCCGAAATCAGTTTAGCTTTATGTCAGGCTGGCAATAGGGAACAGGGCCATCACTTTTCTCCCCCATCATTGGGCTGGTAGAAAACGTTTACATGAATAATCTTCAGCACTCATTTGCAATGCTACTTTAAGTAGATTTCTAGACACACTTTGGAATCAAAAGAGACTTGGGAAAGCTGAACTCCAAAGAGACAATGTGTTGGTATGGCAACTCCTCTTCCCAGCTAGCTCCCACCCCTGCCCATTCAGTCACTCCCAATCTTACGTACACAAAAACTGTGGTAAAGGTTTCTACAGCTGCTTTCTGCCAAGGCGACCTGAGACAGATCAATTGTTTCAAAGCGTGCAAACTAGAAAGATATAAGAGGGAGAGAGTAAAGAAACCGTCTGGTTAATGAGGCAAAGAGACACTAAAGGTAAACATACACACACATGCACACTAATAGGCATTTTTGGCAGTCATGATCCAATCATTTCTTTGACTTGAGTGCTGGGATTTATTTAGCATCGTGATTTTTATTGATATATCATGTGACAAACAAAAACCAAACCAAACTAAACCAAAACACAACTCTTCCCACAACTATGTAGACTTAGAGGAAGGCTTGGGTAGTTCAGAATTATTCAAAACTAAAGATTTATGCTGGAGAAGATAATGGGATGTGGTCTAGCTAGGGGCCTAATGAAGCAGATAGGAGGTATTAATTCCTATTTTATTGGCCAGCAGCAGCCTTTGACTTTGTTACTAGCCCCGTCCAGTTTGAGGTCTGTGTCTCCTTATACACTAGCTATAATAGGTAACATCCAGCCAGCAGCAGGAAATCAGTACTATGGATACAGACAGGACTAGCTTCACTAGTATGCAACCTGTGCAGTCATACAGGGCCCCATGTTCAGAAGGGCCCCACACTTGCTTTAATGCTCTGCTGTTGCAATCTTGAAATTCTTAATAATCTTATCTTTAAAAATATGTTTTGCAAACGAAGTCCAGTGGGACAATAGATCATGAACATGAGCAGAGGAGATATGCATAGTATGCATGTCCGCCTCATGTCTTGTCACTCCATTTACATTCGTGATGCCCATGACCATAGAATTCCAGTGGACTCATGATGTGTGGGAGTTCAGTGAGACTCAAAGCAAGTACAAGGTAAATATGTTACATCTATGACTAAGTAAGGGAGCTGACAGCCCTGAGAGACCACACTTTCTGTTGGAAACAGAACTTGCTTCAATCACAGGAAAAAAGCAATGGTGTTCTAAGAAACATGAACAACCAAGAAACCCTATTGTATTCTTTCTTATTTATGTTACTTCCCTGTATCACCCAATCATTTATGCTGAAAATGATAACGTTGGAGGAAAGGGAAAGATAGGGCAACCCATAGTTTCCTTTTCCTTTCAGTCAGAGAGTGTTGGTAGAATGTGTAAGTATCAAGATGTGCATAAAAACAGTGAGGCTAGTTTTGTGCAGTTTTTGTACAGGTGAGAACAAAATATATATGCACGTATGAGCTACTAGATACAAATTACATAATTTTGGTGGTTTTTCACATGAGTTAAATGCTCTTATATTTGCTTTTAAAACTGGCATTGTACAGTGTACAGATGAATGGCAAAATTGCTAATAACTGAACATTTTATGTTTTCTATACTTAGAATGACATTTAATGGCAAATAAAAGATGCTATGACAAATAATTGTTTTATATTTTAGTATCTTTAATGGCACTTTTTCCTTGCTTTTTGAATAAAGAGCCCTGCATTTTCATTTTGTACTGGGCCCTGCAAATCATGTAGTTGGTTCTGGGTGTAGAAGCTAATTGAGGAATCTGTGAAAGGGAAGGGAAAAAGAAAGGGGAAGGGAGAGAAAAGTGTCTTTGGCCTAAAAGAACAAGTTAAAGGAAGAATAGAAGGCTTCAATTTCTACCTTAATGTTTGCCAACCTGTCTTTACCTATTGGCCCATCTCTCCATAAAACATTTCCTGGCACCCACCCACTAACCCAATTGACATTCTCTTATATATTCTCTTACTGCAGGATGGTGTGCAAAGCAGAGCCTTTGTCCTCGAACCAGAAAATATCTAAGCTTCCATCTCTTGAAGGAGTTACAGTTCTTCAGCAGAGGTCCTTCTTTCAGTATTTTCTGAAAGATAGAAGCATAGCACTGAGTAATTAGATCAGTTTGTAAGACCATTTCACTTGCCCTCTCAGTCGAGAAGATCAGACATCTGGAAGGCTCTCTTTCTGTCACATATCTGAGAAATGGCCTGAGGGCCAGGCAAGAATACAAGAAAGTTAGTTCAATCAGAAAAGGCATTAGTTATCCTTGGATAACACATTCAGGATGAAACAGGCTCTAAGTTTCTTAGGATACATGGCCTAAGAACCATGGAGAACATCTCCATTTGTGGGTAGGAGGTGGGAAGGAGGGACATGAACACATAAATATAAGAACAGCATTCCTAGGAAAGAACAAGTGGTAGGGGAAGGGGCTGAGTTCAGTAAAGGCAGATTTTCTGGAAGTCTCCAGGTTGTAGCCCTAGACAGGGCCTTCCTATCAGCTCTTTTAGAGTGCTCCTTTTAGAATGTTAAGTTGGATCATGTCCCTTCCCTTCTCATAAGCCTCCAATAGCTTCCCAACACTTTTAGAATCAAATCCAGAGTCTTTACCATGGCCTTCAAAGGATTCGTGATCTGGTGAGACAGCAAAAAGGGCACCAAAAAGGAACTGCCTTCTGATTATTTTCTTTACATATCTCATAGTCTGACCACTGATTTTTCAGTTACTTGTTGAACCGACTGATTCTTACCAAGCATAGAGTCTACTTACCATTTTTACCATGGAGAACCGAGGAAGTTTTCAGTTACATTTATAGGATACAAACCAACATGCAAGACTGCCATTTAGGAGAAGTACTCACACCCGCCAAGCTGGAAACAAGCCCATAATAACTGGACAAAGAGCCAGACTTAATTTAAGTCACCAAATCAAGGCTCTACCATGAATTCCATCCATCATCTAAATTAGAATCCACCATTGGGTGGTTGTGGAACCACCTAGTGTTTTTCCAAGTTTTTAATTAGTTAATTAGTTGATAATATTTAAAAGGCAAAAGATTTCATATAAAAATCCAAGTTTCCTGTTTGTTTAAAAAAATCAGAACATCTGGTAACAGTGGATAACAATCTGCTGGAATGAAGTAGCAGCTGCTCCCTTCAGATGGGGTGCCTGACTCCAGCAGGCATTTGAGTTTGGGACTCCGATCTAAACAATCCTTTGCTACTCCCATTCTCCCAAATATATACACGCCTATTACACTGTCTGTTCAATTCTCTAACCAATAAGATAGTATTAATGGACAGAACCTCTGTGTCAATTGAAAAGTCAGTTCATGAGCAATCAAAGTTTACCTGAGTCCTCTTGATAACTTATGGAAGTTTCAATTTTATTGTACCAACCTTGAGATGCTTACAAAAGAATGGTACCAAAGAGTCAAGACAAAGAGAAAAATAAGATCTCATGGGAAGGGGGAAGATGGCAGGGAGAGTGAGAAATTACATTTAAATTGTTGAAATTGAGTCATCAGTGAGAAAACAACTCTTGTCTAACTAAGCATTGTGATTACATCATTCTTTCCTTCCTCTGGTCAAGTGGCCTATGGTATACACTCAATGATTTCGTTTTCTCTATCCTAACCTTCTCACTTCTATGCCATATATTCTTCCACACTTAGTCTTCATGATACCTAGGTAGTCACATTTACCCCTTTTAGCTAAAGACTTAATTTCAAAATTTTAACTGCTCAAACTTTGCACAACTGAAGCCACACCCATTATTTCTGCCCTTTTCCCAAGTTATTCTACTCTGTCAGTTACTAAATGCTTCTCCTATTGTTCTTATTTTGTCAAATCTGGTATCCCCTGTTATAGCTCATTTTACAGTTTTTGGCTAAATATTTCCCCTTTCCTCCATTTTTAGTGTAAAGCCTCCCTTAACTTCAACTCTCCTCTCCTTCTGTTCCTTTCAGGAATAGGATAAGGGATGAGGTGGTAATGGGGAGACAAGGAGTGGGATTTGTTCCTCCAGAACATTCCCAGAACCCTGGGCCTTTTGGTTCCTTCAGAAAATTCCTTTACCCTGATGATTTGAAATAGTGAAATAAGTAGAATTCAGCCTCTTCTCCCCACCTACTTCCTTCCATCAACCCTTAGTAATGATCACTCTTTAATTCCCCTTCCTGGTACTTAAGAAATGTTCTCTTTTCCTCCCTTACTTGTACCCTGCTAATAAATGACATCCTGTTATCCATTCAAGGGTACAGCAAACCTATTAATTAATTAATTAATCTATTAATCTGAGGATACAGCAAATCATCAAAACCTACAGTTCTCATTCCACGAACCTAGCATTTGTCACAGTCAAGAAAAGAAAAGAACGACTTCGTGGTGCATCTATCATTGGATAGAGTGCTTCATTCATATTTTCTGAGCTCCTACTATGGACTCCACATTTTGCTAGGTGCTTTGGGACAGCTAAAGAAGTTGCAGGCACATTTCCTATCTCAAAGATATGGATAGTGGGAGTGGAGAGGGAGGGACTGATAATTCATGTAGACAAACACAAAGTTATGTGAACTCAGAGAACCATTTGAAAGAGCATTAGGGGCTTCATGTTCATTACTCTAAATGTTTACCTTCTGGTTCAAATGCAAGTTTTTACCAAGACAGTGGCTATCTGTTCATATATCCTGTTATTGGGTACACCAGCCAAATCACAATTATCTCCTCTCTGTTCCATGATATTAAACTAGACACTTTGAACGCATTAGCTTTAAATATAGGGCACTCTACTCAATGCCAATAGAAGGCTGGCTGGTAACAGAAGAGTCAACAAGACCTAATAGGGGAACTGGAGAGCTCAAGCCCAGTTGCTAGTAAGTTCTAGGTGATTGTTATGATTGAATGCTGACTAGTGTTACCAGCTCATTCCATTTTTCAAGACAAGTTGGCAATCCAAGCTAAAATTTGTGTGAAGCTTTGTAATATTGAAACGTTAGCAATAATTAATTTTTTAAAGAAAACCTGTGAGGGCCAAACAAAACATGTATGCAGGCCAAAGTCGGCCCACAGGCAACCAGTTTGCAATTTCTGAACTATAGCTACTGTTATTTTCTCCAGAGGACAAAGTGAGTGAATGGTGGGGATTCCTAGCGTCAGAGGAGGTTGCAGTGTATGAGTTCAGAGTTTGTGTGTGAGGAGCCTGTATATGGGAGATATATATTACCAAGTTTTGTTCAAATAAATGTTGATGTGATTTATGTATAGTAGGGAGAAAGGTTAGAAGGCCATACAATAGTTTCTTAAGTTCTAAACACAGGCTCTATATCATCAACTCTGAACTTCTACAAATATCCAAACCTGGGTTGGGAGAAGGTAAAGTTCCTGCAGTTCCTTTCCTTTTAAACTCTGTCCTTCTTTGGGAGAAACTTACCTACTAAACCAGTCACTATTTCTAAATAAACCATTGTTTATTTAAAAACTCAATAAGCAGTCCCTTGGAAGCCTGTTTGACCAAGCAGAAGCTAAAAATCAATCAATCGATGGGTTACCTCAAGTCAATAAAATATGTATATGCAATGAACCTTTACCTGCCTGAGGCCACTAAACTTAACAAGGACGTGAGACAAAAGTTGGAAGAAACAAACAAACAAACACTTGAGACAAAAGTTGGAAGAAACAAACAAACAAACAAACACACAAACACATCCTGCAAAGGGAGGCTTTGGAAGGAGAACCCTTGCCTGTCCCTTAAGAGGATTTGCACTGTGCTCCCTGGCTTCTTGCCGATAACATCATCTCATTGCCCCCTCACCATGACCATGCAGAGTCTTACCTCCAATTTCCAGACGGTAAATCTGAGGCTTGGGTGTTTTTCATTGCTTTGCTCGAGGACCCACAATTACAAAATACTGGTGGCCTCTGTGCTTTTTCCACTGATCTACCCATGACAAGAAAACTGGGAGTGCCTGATTAATTAGTATGTACACCACACAGTGAACATACTACCCTGCAAACTTTGTCCTGAAAGGCAAGACCATAGATAGCTAAGAATTAAAAGATGTTCTGTGAACAGCTCTGAATACTCCATATTAAAACTGTTAATGAGCTTCCCTCTAAGAGGCAAATGGTAATCCATGGTGGGCGAGAGGATTACCTCTGTTTTTTGAAAGTGGCTGTCTAAGATTGACTAGAAGAGTAATGAGAATTCACATGTATATAGCACCTTGCAATTGATAAAGTGCTTTTACTTTTGTTATTGAATCCTCCCAGCAGCCCTGAGAAGTAGGTAGTGAAAGGCATCTAACTCAATTCTGCCCTATGAAAGACACCCTGAACTTCAGTTTCTTTAAGTGGCTTTCCCATATATCTTTATTTCTAAGACATTATCAAGACATTTGAAATTTTTCCTCTCAAATAAGATCATCAATTTTTTTTTGCATTTTTGAGATTTTGTAGCATCTTAGGGCTGAAATATTTGTTAGAAGCATCTGTAATATTATTATGAAAGTCAATGAAGAACAGGATTCTATATGGGAAATTATGCTTGGTGGCCACCTTTATAGGCACAAAGCTATTTCATTAAATGGGGCACACCTGTAATCCTCTTGGTCCAAGCTGCCACATTCTTGTAACAATATTTGTGATGCTGCAGATAGGAAGAAGTTAGGAAGGGTCATAGGACTCTTGTACATACTGAAATGCCATGTGACCCGTCTGATGCTTCTTAAACCAGAACATACTGCAGGCAGGCCTCCTAGTCCTTCCTGCCAGTTCTATCCGACATTAAAACCCAAATAACACTTCAGTTTCTACTCTTAAACTCTCAAGGCTGGCTGTTTTGTAGTGTGACTGAGTGTGGTGCTGAGTTCAATCACCATAGAGATCAATTGGCTTTATTCAAATCCAAGAATGCAGGACTTATCAAAGCATAGGTAATTCAAGTCCTGAGTACAGCATTCATGCAAAATGTCTTTGCCTCAACTGTGGCAGCCCTTGCAGAGAAAGCTAGAGCTTTGGAAATCTCTGCTTCAGTTTCCTTTTGGATCCTCTTTGATAAGCCAATCCCCAAATCCATTATTCCCA